GGAGAAAAGATATATCCAGGAGGCCGACCAGTAGGAGCAAATTTTCTCCTCTTCTTCTGGCCTTCCCCTCTTCCATTCACCCCCTAAAATCTAGTAGGGACCCAGACGGCAAAGCAGAACTGTGGACTGAAGAGCACCAGTCTCAGAACGAGGTGTAGAAAAGTGTGTTGGAAGTGAAAGCTTAATAATTCCCACAAACAGTAACCAAGAAACTAGGAGACATCTGAGGATGGCTTGGGCCTCTCTCTTCCCAGCTGGATCTGTGGCAGCTCCCCTAGGACTTGATGCAAATCCTCTGATGGTCAGAAGATGCTTCTGAAGACTCAATTAGCATGACCTTTTCAAATAGATCTTACAATGTATGTAGCTTCAATTTGCCCTGAGAACATTATGAGAATTTATGCCATGTATAATTTCAGTTCAGACTAGAAAAGTGTCCAGATGCATATTATTTTAGTCAGCTTTTCCATTGCTGTTAACAAAACACTTGATAAGGACAACTTAGAGGAGAAAATGTTGATTTGGGGCTCATAGTTTTGGAGATTCAGTGCATGCTCCGAGCCCAAGGTGAGGCAGAACATCATGGTGAAAGGGCATGGTGAAGGAAGGCAGCTCAGGAAACTGAGGGAGAGAGCTTTACTAACCAGGGACAAAATACAAACCCCAAAGATTAACCCACGGGTTAAGTTAAAATGCTCATAATCTAATCATTTTACTTCTGAATATTTTTGCATTGTCTCACACATGAGCTTTTGGGGACATCTCATATCAAAACCATAACACGTATGTATTAGAAAAGGGTAAGAAATCTTCACTATGCAGAATTTTAATTTTCTGTCTGCTTTCAGGCAAAAAAAAAAATCCAGTTTTTTGTCTTTCCCCAAGATTTAGAGTTATGTTTATGCCATAGTTAGGTAAAATTTGTTGAAAAATTTACTTCTGATAGTTATTTTTCCTTTCTTACTGTTGTCTTAAAAGTTTTTTTCCACTGTGATCATTTAGAGATTATTATTTCACTTTTATAAAAAAATCTTTTGTATTTAATGACTCAAAATTCCCATATGGAAAACCACCTTCCAGTGAATGCATATTTGTTCACCCCATCCACATGTTTGGTGGCTAATCTGTAGCATTGATGAGTTTAGTTATCCAAGTTTGGTAGATTAAAGAAAGTTAGGTTCTAAAATAGCACAAAGAATGGCATCTTCACCACTTATATATTTCTTCTCCTATAGCTTCCTTCAATTATTCCTTTAAAACTGAGTACCACATTTCTTAATATCTGTATGTGCCTAGGGAAAAAGTATTTTTTTAGAACAATGATATTAATAAAGGTAACTATGTGAGCTTAAACTAAGGCCAACCTTCATAAGGCTAGTTTCTCTAGCTCAGGTTGCCATCCAACAATGCCTTGAAAAATCAAATAGTTCTATGATTGCTGAAAGGTCAGTGGTATAGAAAGTATACAGGTGAAAGAGAAAGAATCTGAAACAAAATTATTTTGTTGGAGTTTTTTTGCAGATGAAGAACAAATAGAGTAGTCATTCAAATACCTATCACCCATGGTTGATCCCAATGTGTTCTCAAAGAGGAGTGTATAACATCTTAGAAGAGAATTTCAAACCTCTATCTTGAGCAACTTAGCCAGTCCCAGTTGACGTGCTCAGTTTATAGCTGCCGTTCACGCACGCAGGCTGACAGATTAACTTGATACACTTGATTTCAACATCAGTGTTGGATCAAGGAGAGTCCTAGCAAGCATCCTGGATTCAGAGAGGTGATTGCTCATGAAATGCCAAAGTTGGGTTCTGTACAAAACTATCTAAGAGAAATCCATCTGCGAGATGCCTTTTCTTCATCAAGTGCAGAATTTACCATAAAGAACACAATAATAATGCTACCTGCTGCTTTGCTTGTGTCTGTTTTTCATTTAACAGCAAGAATCCTCAAATTATATAAACATGTAGAGGCTTTGGTGCACTTTTAGGGAAGGGAAGAAAGAGACCCAGCTGAATCAGCTTCCTAAACTACTGCATTATTTTACCCTGATGGTTTTAATTAGAGAAAAATAACTGCATTGAGACCATCTGCATATTCATAATGTGGAACATATGGTTGGTTTGAAAAAGAAAGTGCATTAATAATCATGCTCCTTTCCAGTCATTTCTCACATTCCAGGTTATTTCTTTGAGAAATAATATATTTGAAAAATCTGTTTACTCTTTACATGAGCAAAATATTCTCATTCCTTTAGGTTTTGTGTGTTGCATCTGCTACTATTGTACATTTTAACAACTAATGCTGAGAGAGAATATGTTTGTTGATGATTGAGAATGCCCCATCAGTGAGTTCAAAATACTTTGCACATGCATGTTTATATTGTCTTTTATTAAGCATAAGTTACTAGAATTCAGTTTATGGAAAGTCTACTAGAATTTTCTGAGGGCACGATAAAGACTCAAAACCAAGATGGCTGTGTAGCATGCATGTATACATGCTTATGTGTGTTCTTGCCAGTGTATGTGAGAGCCTGTGTATCTCTCCTAAGACATAATGTCATGCATATAATTTTGACCAAGTGAAATAATAAGCCATTGTGAAAACTAAGATAATTAGGTATGCACAAAGTAATTCAGACATGTTATTCTTGTAAAATAAAAAATGAGATGAAATGATTTTTCATCTTAAAGTTCTTAATGGAAGAAAAAGCAATATCTAGTTATATGAGAAGTAAATAGAAAACTAATGGAACTTTTGCCTTTTTGTCTGGCTTTTCATGTGGTCACTGGATCAATAAATTCAATTCCCAATGTGAAATAACAAACAAAAAACAACCAGAGAACTTGCACTGGCATAGGTACCTTAATAACAAAACAGAAAAGGGTATAAACTTGGAGGAAAAAGATTAGGAAAGAAATGAAATTTTATTCCTTGGAGACCAAGCTACCATGTTTGTTGAGTAGGGGTAAAAGGGAACAGGGGAAAGAGAATTTAGAAGATGGAGATGTGTGTGCTGTGAAGAATTTCAGGAAATCAACGTGCTCCCAAGGAGACTGCTCCAAAGCTTGCAGGTCCCGTGAGCCTTGACATGCCTGAGTTATTCTTGGTGTTCCAAGATGCTGTGCGAGCTCCAAGAGCTCAGAGATACAATTTCTTCTTTCAGACTTTGGTAAGGAGCGTTAGAAGATTGAATGAAACAACTTCCAACTTGTTGCCTCCTTTGGAGATTAAATTAATAGAGGTATGTCAGCAAGTATTGTTCATTAAAAAGACAAAAAAAATGTTAAGGCAATCATTGACATTGAAGTAACCAGTTATATTTTTATGAACTCAGTATCTTGCAGGAGAAAACACTCTGACTTTAGTAAGGCCATTTGGAGATTTATAGTATTTCACAAAATTTACTGTGATAATTGCCAGATCCAGAATGAGTTTGCTTTTAGAAACACTTACTGAGTGACTCCTTGTAAAGGAACTGACTTTATCTGAATTAGTTTCCTTTGTCTCCCCTCACTCCTTTCGATTAGGACACCACACTTGTAATTTCATTAGATACAGTTCAGTTATTTATTTGTTTAGAAATAAATGACATCAATTACATTGTCATAGCTCTTTGAATAGCAGGAAGAATGACTTCCTTGTTTTATCTATCTTCTAATTTCCAGTGATAATAATACAAGCTTTTGCATTTGGTTTTTAAATTTGCTTCATGTTGATTATCATTTTATATATCCCAAAACACCCTTGGCTTTTTTCTTTACTGCGAATACAAAAATTTTCACTAGATTTATGATAGTTTTTTGTGCGTGTATTTATCTTGGCTATAAGCAGTGTGGCATAAGTATTCTTTTTGCCTTAGGTCCCAAATTGTTTTATTCATCCTACTAATGACTTTCTTTTTCATCCATGAATTTTATAGTAGTTGGAACTCAGTTATAGGTGATGAAATTGTCTCCACTTCTTTCAAGGGGACAGATTGTACTTAGATGTGGTAAATCTAGGTTTCAGTAAAATATGGACAATTTGATAAATCCAAACATTTTTTTTACATATGCTTCCCCCTACATGCCAATTCAAACGTAACTTGGAATAAAAGATCTTCATCAATAACCATTTTCCTTTCCTTAGTGACTTAAGATAGGACTTGATATATATATCACTAAATACTGTGTACTTATCAATATTTTTAACAAAAAATCAAATCAGCAATGCAATATGAAGTGGCTAAATCATATGATGTAAACCTTTCTTTTTAAAAATTGTGATAATATGTAGTGCAAATAAAATTTATCATTTTGGCCATTTTAAGAATATAATTCTTTGGCATGGAGTATATTCATATTCTGGTGCAACCACATTGATTATTCATCTCTTGAATTTTTCATCATCCCAAACTGAAACTCTGTACCCATTCAATGATAATTCTTCATTTCCTGGCAACCACCATTCTACTTTCTGTTCTATGAATTTGATTATCCCAGGTACCTCATATAAATGAAATTATACAATATTTTCTATTTTATGTAAATGTTCTCTTTTAAAGTGGATCTTGCAACACTAAGGCGATGACTTGGACTCTCCCATTTTCCCCTCCACCTCCCGTCAGTTCCAAACTCTATTACCAAAGGAATATGGTGGGAGGCCTCATGATGTGTTCCCTGGGTCCTAGTGACATCATGCTTCAATTACCTTCTCCAAAGACAAATTCATTTCACGTCTAATCAGACTGATTGAATGTATCACACTAATATCAGAGTAAGTTATGTGAGGTAGGGAAGTAGAAATATACTAAAGTAATAAAGTAACGGGGATTATTCTGTGTCGTGTGTGTGTACCTAAAAGAAATTATTTTGCTTACTAAGTAACAGTAATAACTGATCTTCATATGTCAGATTATAGTTTACCAATCTGACATTTTCCTATCAAACAATTGTCTCAAAAATATTAATCTGTATCTCACATTTAGATACTAGGATTAAGGTTCAGTAAGATTAACTCACATTCATAAGTCAAGTGAATGGTTTTGCAGGGCTCCAATGTCATTCACATGTCCAGTGTCTGGCTTCCCATTCTGGTGATCTGATCAGGAGATGCAGCCTTCTCCTTTTAATTTGACCTTCCAAGAAACCTTCCCCTATTTCCAACACTCTGCTACTCTCTCTAAGGACCAGACATTTAACCTACCCATCCTGAGTTTTCATGAGGGTCAGGAGCTTCCCATGTCTGGCAAAGAGCTTCCCCCCAGGAGCTGTATTTAAGGATTATGAACTCTTTCCTCTCATCAAAACTAGGTCACATTATAGATAGTGGGGAGAAATAGTGTGGAACTAGTTGAGAGAGGCAGCCGACCAAGTTCTATTCCTGGCAACAAAAATGGAAAATGGCCTTATGTCAAACTCCAACATGAAATTGCAAATGATTAAAATAATAAAAAATGATGCCAATGATTTTTAAAAAGGCTTTCAGCATCTAAGGAACATGGCATAGAACGTATCAATTGACTCTACGATCTCCCTGCTGTATCTGTGTGAAAGGGCTGTGTGGGAAATATAGCAAAAGGAAGAAGGTACTAAGCAGAAACCTCAGGGCTGTACTTTCCTGACTCTTGGAACCTCACATCCCCGAGAGTATTGTCAGTGGTTTTTAATTTTTTAAATGTAGCTTGGCAGGGCTGTAGAAGTGTTTTATTTTTTAAACCCTTGCTGAACACATCCATTGACAGAACAGTGTTCTGCTGGTCCTGAAAGCCTGCCAAGGCAGGAAAATGAGTTAGGCTACATGGATTCATCTCTCAGCTCCTTCTCATTCGCTCCTACTTTCCATGGCACTTTGATCCTTTCTCTTTTTCCATTCCAAATTGGTCCCTGTGTATCCTGTGCCAATTGGCACACTTCTATTAAAGAAATATTTTGCTAATAATATCTTAGCTCTGAATCCTCTGCCTCAGTCTCTTTTATCCTATCTAGGTATAAAGTAGATTGTTCTAAATTCTACTGTTGAATCTTGCAAGTACAAGCTAGATTGCTTACCCTTAACTTCAACTTATTTATTTATAGATTCACCAGACCTTTTTTTTTTTTGTAAAGGTTCATGTTTCTACAAAAATAATTTTTAAACATTATATAACATTTTATTTTAACAATTTGATAAAAAGATAATCATTACTGAATGTATAGTGGTTTGCTAATTTGTGAGCGTAGCCTACTATATGGAGCTATTTGAAATATAGTTTTCAGTTGGTAAAAGTGAATCTTATCAAGAGACACAGAAGGCTTTCTAACAAGCTGTGCCATACTGGACAAGTTACTTCATCTACTCTCATCTTCAGTATGCATCAAAATCAAGGAGTGGAAGTTTCCACTTGCTTTGGGCATTAAAATGCAATGACTGTATGAATTTATAAAATAAGGAGAAAACCTGGAATATTGCCTGGGGACTCCTAGGAGTTATATTTCAGATGCTGTTGGCTGTATGTTTCTAGAAATCAATTTCCTCATTAGTTTTCTTTCAATTTATTTTGAAATTCTCTGTTTCTAAATTCTGCCCCTGTATATGGAGAAGCTACTGGCTTCTAGAAATAAATAAGTTGAGTTGTGCTTCAGTGAGGAGACAGAAAAAAAAATCCAGAGTTAGAAGAGTAACTTTAAGGCAATGATGTCTTGCCATTTGTTTTTGGTTTTAGACATTGAACTGTTGTCAGACATAATATGACTTCTGTGCTTGGTTTGAATTGTGTGGCTTGGTTTACATGAATATTTTATCATTATACATTAACTTTATCTAGAACATGATTTTTTAAAGAGTTCTATTTGAGTAAGAATGTTTCTATTATGCCCTGGGCCCTACTGTTCTATGAAATGTACTTTGAATATTATAATAGAACTCCATTAGAAACAGGATTAAAATGAAAGCATTTCATTTTAAGAGAAACTTTTCAATAATAGTACATAGAGAAGCTTGATAAAATTCTTAATATTTAATAAGGTGGTTTATAAGTTTGAACAATATTTCTTTTTTTCTAATTTATTTTTTGGTGCATTATAATTATGTATAACAGTGGAATTCATTGTTACATATTTATGCCTGCACACAATGTAACAATATAATTTGGTCAATTTTGCTCCTCAGTACCTCCTCTTTCCCTTGATCCTCCCTTCCTCTGCACTCCTTCCTTTATTCTACTGTTTTCCCTTCTATTTTCATGAGATTCCCTCCCCACACATCTTTCTTTTCCTTTTTCTTCTCTAGCTTCCACATGTGAGAGAAAAGATATAACCTTTGACTTTTTGTTTCCCTTATTTTACTTAACATCATGGTCTCAAGTTCCAACCATTTTCCTGCAAATGATATAATTTCACTCTGTTTTATGACTGAATAAAATTCCATCATGTATATATCGCAAATTTTCTTTATCCATTCATCTGTTGTTGGGCACCTAGACTGTTTCCATGACTTGGCTATTGTGAATTAGGCTGCTGTAAACATCAGGATGCATGCATCACTATGGTACGCTCACTTTAATTCTTTATGATATACACCAAGGAGTAGGAGAGCTGGGTCATATGGTGCTTCCATTCCTAGTCTTTTCAGGAAAATCCATACTGATTTTCACAGTGATTGTACTAATTTACCATTCCAGCAGTGTAAAATTATTCCTTTACCCTAAATCCTCTCCAGCATTTATTATCATTCGTATTCTTGATGGCTGCCATTCTTACTGCAATGAGATGAAATCTCAGTATAGTTTTGATTTGCATTTTCCTAATTGCTGAAGATGTTGAACATTTTTTTCATGTATTTGTTGGCGATTTTTGAACAATATATTTCATAGAGGTAATGTGTCTCTACATTTCATAAAGGAAGATTGTCTAGGATTTAAATTGGATGACTTTGGGCCAGTTATATGAGCTTAGACTAGTCATTTTCCACCTTTGAGTCTCAGTTTTTCATATGTAAGATGGTACAATAATAATTACTTCATGGTAGAAGAGTTAAATACTCTCTCTTGCCCATAGCAGGAACTAAGCAAGTGGTCTTGGGATAATTTTTTACTAAGAGATGAGAGACTTTAATTCTCCTAACCACATGGTACACTATTTTTTTTCTTTTGGAATTGAAATAAGCATTTGCTGGGTACAATTGTGCAATTTAACTATTACTTTAATAAATTTGCTTTTAAATGATATCTACTGATTACTTCCTCCATAGCTAGAATTGGCCTTTTATTACATACTCACCCTTAAAAATTACACTGTCAGCAAAGCAAGTCAATGACTCACCAGCTGAACTACTCCCTGTAAAATATGGTCTTCATTTTATATTTCATTTTGCTTCTCTGCTGGTTTTCTGACCTGGATAAAGAACATTTCCTTTTCCTCTGTCTTCCTTTTATTCAACATATATTTATTGAGTGTCAGTTACTAGCAAGGGACACTTCCAGGTCCTGGGTATAGAGCAGTAGATAGTCAAGAAGGCCTTCTTTCAATCAAGGAGTCAATGAAGTACTCTTTGGGAGAGCCACTTAAGTTGTGCAATCTTTGCAATATTATATCTGTTCTTTTTTTCCCTCTGCTCAGAGGTTGCTGAAGTGCTTCTGGTGCTCAGGCCATCTTTACTGGAACAACATCTTCTAGATGCATAGGGCCATCTGGTTTTGTCTTACCCTCCTCATGATTTTCCACTTGATTGCTTCTCAGAATGCTTGGGAAGTCATGTATGTCAAGGATCACTGTTTCAAGGATCACTGATCAATGTTTCCTATAAACCTTTCCACTTGACCTGTACAACACAGAGTGAGAAAGTTTGGAGATTGGGTGTATAGGTGTTAGGGACAAAGTAACAACATCTCCTAAGCACCATGTTTTGGTACTATGCAAAACATTTTCTTTGTATCCCCATACCCTGATAAAAATCCTGTGAGATGGCTATTACAACCATTTATATTGTTGAAGCATCTCAGAAACATTAAGCTACTTGTTTAAGTCACCACCTAATAAGAGGCAAAGCCCAATTTTCATGCCCATATTTCATTTACCATTCCATGTTTCCATCTATGTCATGGTACTTGTTTGGGGGGGTCACCTATTTGCTCTGATTCTCATAATGAATATAATTCACAATGCTCTTTTTCTAGCCACCTGACGCTTTATACACATCAGCCAGAGATACACTAATCTCAAGGATGGAATTGAAGCCAAATACTCATGGAACAAAAGAATACAATAAAATTAAAAAAAAAAAACTTTGAAAAATCCAATTTTATTTATATGAAGGAAAAAGCCAAACATTCAACCAATGGCAATAGATATGCTATTTGTTGTAGTTGTTGGCTTAGTGTCCCTTTCTTTGAGAAATCATCTTTCTCCCTAAATTTCATGTGGTTCTGGACATATTTTCAATCAATATATCTGGCCTCCAAGAGATAGCACCTCCCAGCTACTTTCTTTCAGTCATGATGGGAATGTGACTCAGGCTTGGACTATCCTGTTACCTGACACCCTAGGCCACATTGAAGCTTCCAATAGGAGAGTCATGACCTAAGGTGAACCAATAAAATCCTTTGCCAATATTGGCAGGTAGATGGTAGGAAAGGAAAATTAATTTTGGCTGCAGTTACAAAGTTGGGAAGCCATAAATTTCTCTGGAAAGTGGTTATTTTTTAAAACAGCAAAGGTTATTTGCAATATAAAGCAAAAGAAGAAAATGCTCTTAGTCCGTCTCATTCTCAGGGTGAGGAGTGGAGATTGAGAATGAGTGAGGAGAAAGAGAGAAACAGTGGAGAAGAGGCAAAGAGAATCCTGGCAATATTGGGTTCTGAGATCTGGGTTCCTATAGCTTCAAATCTGTGAGAAACTTAAGTAGATTTTGGTCCAGCTAGTTGGAGTGAGTTTCTATTACTTGAACCTAAAAAATTTCTGATTAATATATTGGGAACGCTCCAAGAAGCCATAGAGAGCTATTGATTCCTATTCTCTGGAGAACATAGACTAATCTGATCTTTTATCAGCCCACATTCCTAGTGTAGTCCAACAAACTTGTATGGCTGTTGTTTTGTGTTGTTTTATTGATACCTACATTAGCAAGGGCAGTTCTTCATTCTCAATCTAAACAAGAAATTTTGGAATCTACAGTCTGATGATCACACAATTGACCATAGTGACCCTGATTTAGGTCTAAATCAATCTTTTATGTTTTTAGGTCAGCTAAAAAGATGCAAAAAAGGAGGTACTCTTCAAAATGTGTGGACCCAACACTCATGTAGCACTACTGCTATGGAAGAATTCAAGAGACTTTGGATTTTTTCATTACCTGTAATTTAAAATAACCCTGAGATTTAGGGTGAAAGTGGTTGTCTTCTTGCCTACAAAATGGAGAGAGATGAGCACAGGGTACTTCCATGCAATTGTTGTGTTCTTAAAAAATGGCAGCTAAGCTGGATGCTTGCAAACCAATTAGATGACAGTGGTGATGTAATTTATAAAGTAAAAAAAAAAAATAAAACTGTAAAAACAATCACAATACATTGTATTGTATTAAAATACAATACAATGTATTTCTTATTAAAAATTCAAATTTTTATACATTTGACCTAAGGTAATGTGATGTGCCTGGAAGTAAAACATTTCTTGAACTATAACTGTTAGTAGAAGTTTTAGTCCAGAACTCTATGGCTTTCTTTCTTTTTTTTTTTAACTTTCTTTTTTTTTTCTTATGTCAAATGAAAACTTGGTTTTGGGCCCCCCTCAAACTTCTCAGCCCCTCCAAGACTTTTCAGAATCTGGGCATCACGTGTATATCCACAAGAACTTTTCTCTTTAGCCAATGAAGTGTGCTCAATGTTAGTTTCTACATACCCCAGTTCAGCCAAATGGCAAGAAGTACTAAATGCTGTGGATTTAATACTGTCCTTGCCATGCACCAACATGCATGATGTTTGGCAGGTATAAAAGGAACTCTGTTCCCCTGGGACAGGAATTACTGGGATACTCTGAGCCTTGAGTGCCTGAAGTAGACCCCTGGGTACCCACATGTTCACATGTAAGCCTCCTCATGCCCTGTTGGGAATCTGCTCTGCAGTTTCCTGCTGGGCTCAAGCCAAGTCAGACAGGCCCTTTTCTATCAGTCTCTTCTCCCTGGTCTTTGGATCTTGTTCTTTCTTAACATAACATACAAGGCTGTGCGTGACTTGCTCTCATAATTTTCCTTGATTCTTTGCCTCAAAATTCGTCCTCTGGCAATATACCACTTTTTGTTTATAAAAGATTCTGAAGTTTTCTGCTTAATTTTACCCATTCAAATGTGAATTTAAGTTCTCTCTTCTCGTGAAGTTTCTCTGACTGCTTAAGCCCATGCCATCCCTTCTACTTTGCAGTCCTCTTAATTTCTAGATCCCCACATAAACCCTTCTCCTTATTCTCCTCATCCCATGTTGCCAGTTTCTGTTTTCATACCTATGTTGTCTCAAGGGAAGTTTTAACTCAGGCAAGTCTGAGTTCAGAGGATGTGGGGAACTCAGGGACACACAGCACTAGGAAGCTTGAGGTGGGAGTTGCAGGACAAGGTCAGAGATGAACTGGGTCAGAAATGTCTGAAAGAGGTTAGGCTCCTGGGGGCATCAAATCTGGTTGGCACAGAGAGGACATAGGTGTTTCATGAAAATGCTGGGATCAAAGCATTGGTTAAGCAATCTTTTCCTGATAAGAATCCAGGTAGCTTGTGGCAACAGGGGAGGCTCTAGCAATATACAGGTGGAGTAGGAAGAAGTATTCCTCCATCAGTAGGAAATGGTGCTGCTGGGCTAGCAGGTTGGGGCAGGAGCCCAAAATATAAATCGAGTGAGAAAAAGATGAAAGGCAGTGGAGAAAGAAAAATGGAGGGAAGGCAGGAGAGGAAGGGCAATGAGAAGATGGTAGAAAGAGGCTAGCAGTGAGAGAAGAAGAAAAGAATTCAAGAGTAGGGGAAAGAAATGGAATGAAAGAGAAGATAGAAGGTAAGGTATAAAAGTGATCAGAAAGGAGAAAGCAGGGGGTGGAGTAGCTCAGTGCTCAACTTGCAAGAAGCCCTGGATTTCCATCCCCAGCAGCAAAACCCAAAACCAAAACAAACACACGAAAGTAGAAAGCGAAGGCAGGAAAGGTAAATCTGAGGCTCATAGCTGCACATCACCTGCCTGAACAAATTTGCACTCAGTAGTCATGTGAGGCAGTAGGTAGAGTCATACTGCTTCTCCCTAAAATCACTGTCTGCTTTCATCTCCCAAACATATACTTTGATGTGGACAATTGCCATTTTTTTTTCTCACCTTCTACAAAGTGTTAACAAAAGCACTTCAAATGTTTTTTGGCTACAATTAATTTTCATTATGTATTGTATAGCCATGGCATATATTTAAATGCATTGCATATATTATACATGTATTATTCATTACACAAAAATACAGTATGATTGCTATGCAAACACTGTTTCAAAACCAATTTCCTAACCCGCACACTGTAGCACCTACTTCTGCCTTAATTACACTGCTGCTTTGAAACCTAAATTCCTGTGTGGAACTCTAGGGCTTTCATAGTTTCATTCACAACTCACTTGTGGATTTGAGGCTGTGATGCATTTCCTGGCCTCCTTAGAATTGACTCATCACTCAGCAAGGTCAAAGTTAATAGGTGGTTGGGAAGGTAGTTCATGATTCCTTTTTAATATCCATGTAAGAATAGCATCAAGAGTTGTGTATATCTAGCACTTGAATATATTAGCTAAGAAATGGATTAATGAAAATAAACAATATTTCGATGTGCTATGTTTATAATATTGTTTATAAAATAAACAATATTTCAATGGGGCTGCTGTGAAGATTTAGAGACATACTTCAAAGAGTACCTAGCCCAAGGTACTGTTTAATATTATCTATTACTATCTTTATTTTTATTATTATTTGTTTAGTGCTTACAGTTTAGCCTGAAATAACTTATTTGATCTTCATGACCACTCATAAGGTAAACAGAGCAAGTGTTATAGCTCAGATTTACTAGTGGGGAAATTGTGTTTTGTCCCACATTAGGCACAGGCTTACCAGGAGGAACACACTGGAAGTTCTTCACTTGCCTGGTTCATGATGTCCACATTCTTATGAGGCTCAACCAACTAAGTCAGCAAAATAAAAATGCTATTTTTAAAGGGTCATGAAATAATATATGGGATGTTCTGACAACACTTGGTAAAGGATTTAATCATTGTTTACTGCTTAGTATACTTTAAAAAATATTTTTAGTTGCAGCCAGTGTTTATTTCTGTCCTCTTTCTCCATTATCTTTCAAAATTGGGAAAGTAATACTCAAAATTTGAAGACTGAAGGGCTACTGGGAACAGGGTTCAAATTATATTGGCTTCCAAGCTGCTCCATTTTATTAGTGCATCTAAAACTGACATTTGCTGGTCACTGTGTGTAGTTTTAAACAGATCCTTTGTTGAAATAAAGTGGGGTGGGGGAAGCAAGGCAGTAAATCCAGGGCTGGAATCAGCCAATTTCTGACTTGCTCTGTGACTCTTGACAAATCATTTAATATCTATAGCTTGTTATCTTCCGGTGAAAACCAGAGCAAACACCAGGGCAGAAGTGTCATGGGACATTGTGATTACCAACAATAAAAAATATATTGAAACCATTTGTCCAGGAGTAAGTTTTTGACATGCAAGTCAGAATGCTAGATTGATTGAAGGGGGCTCACAGTTTGGATGCCCTTGGGGGATATCATCAAAGGCACTGCTGGTGGCTACTGGAC